AGGCTCTTGGTCTTCTGGTATTAACATACATTATCCGTGTTTTCTTAAATCTCTCTCTCTATCTGTATGTTTGTGTGGGTGTGTGCCCATTTATATGTATGCTTGTACAAATGGGAATTTATTGGTTTTGATTCCCTTGCTGCTATATTTTGATTATTTCTATGATAACAATTCTCCGTGGTTCTTTTCTGTTATCATGGTACTTTACCTGCACCCTGAAACTAAGGTATCAAATGATATCTAATTAAATTCGTAGAGGGGTGTATGGGGTGCTTGAAAAAACTATTGAATATGATGCAGGAAAAAAAAAAGAGAAAAAAAGGTGTAGTTGTACATCCATACCTCCTTAATTCAAAGGTTTCAGATAGAAAAATGCTCTGCTTAAATGTTTGAATTGAAGACGCAGGAACTTCTACACTTTTAAGTTGAAATAATCTACTGAGTAATTATAATGTTGGTGTTCTTTCTTGTTGTAAAAAGCCACAATCTTATCACATTAATTTGTTTCAAGTGAAGCAATAGCCTTTGGCTACTGCAAAGGGATAATTAAGTTATAATAAGTGATAGTCGGCCACCACATTTGTAAATGTCTTCTTTCATTCATGTTTTTGTCCTTGCCTTAAACATTAATAGTGGTGACAGGGAATTTGTGTCTGGTTTACATGCATTTCTGTGATTTTCACTTGGATTTAATATTTCTATTATTCTTCTGCAGGGGCATGCTAATTCAAAAATAAAGATTTTGGAAAATAAGAAGGATGACCAGGTTGTTTCAAATAACTGTCATGTTACTGACGGAAATGGCTGTACTGAATTGCCCAATAACTCAGATGATAAAATGGAATTGGCTGCTGAAATAAGAGAGGAGAATGGTGTTGATGAAACATTTTCATTGGAATCTCGGCCTTCGAAGAAGCCAAGATCTGTAATTGAAGAGGAGATTTTATCTGGTGAAGTAGATGATGGAGGTATAGCCCTTTTTTTCTTCTTTAAATTATTTTATTTTGTTTTAATAGTTGGGTCCATCCAATTTAAGGTGATTATACTGCAATAGGTGCGAATGCTACAGCAGAAGTGGTTGAGCCAAGCTGTACATCACCTGAACCAGAGGCTACTGCTGATATTGTATCACCAGAAAGTGATAGAAGCCTAAAATTACACCCACGTGAAAAGAAGCTTATTGATTTTAGAGAAAAGCTGTACCTTGCGCCTCTGACCACTGTTGGAAATCTTCCATTCCGAAGGGTGTGCAAAGGGTTAGGAGCAGATATAACGTGTGGTGAAATGGCAATGTGTACGAATCTTTTGCAGGTTTGTTCTATGCTTTTGCCAGCTGATTATTGTGATTGCATTTTCTGAATTTTTTTTTTTTTTTTAAAAACTAATGGTTAGTCTAAATCACCTCAAATTCTCATACTATCATAAAAATGTCATTTCACCTGATGACGCCACTCAATGCTGTTGATCTCATCTACTTCACTGTGTAATTAATGTGATGATCCGCAATGTTTGCACCATCCCACAATTGGAAATTTGAGTTTTATAAATTCTTTCAAAAGAATACTTTCATCATTTGAAGTGAAAATAAATAGTACTTTATACCATTCCCTAGATGAATTATATCTTTTCTCTGTTGTTTGTGGAGTTTTATACTTAACATTAAGGCTAGTGAAGCTTGTTCAGATAATTTAACTTGCCTGAGATGGGTATTGGTGTCATTTGATATTTGTTCTCAAGCGTGCACCGGAAAGCATGCGTTTTCATTTTCTCTTTGACTTGCTAAGAAAAGAAATGGCTACATATCCACAGCTCTACGATGTATGCCACAACACATAGGCGGTGTCAAGATCAGCAGTGTTTGCGCTTTAAACTGGAGTTGTGCTAATCATTTTTCTTTGTTTCATATGTTACCTTTTCTATTCTTTTTTTTCTTTCTTTCTGGTTTTGTAATTTAATTGGTAAATGCTGTAATCTACCCTCCAATGTCACATTTTCCTAATTGCAATTCTCATATGGGAATAGGGTCAAGCATCAGAATGGGCACTTCTGAGGCGACATTCATCTGAGGATTTGTTCGGTGTTCAGATATGTGGAGCATATCCAGACACTCTGGCACGCACTGTTGAACTTGTAAATCAGGAATGTACGGTGGACTTTATTGATATAAATATGGGGTGCCCAATAGATATTGTTGTGAACAAAGGTGCTGGATCAGCTCTCCTTACAAAACCAATGCGGATGAAAGGCATTGTACAAGCAGCTTCTGGTACAGTGGACTGTCCTATAACTATTAAGGTACTGAATTGTATGCCAATTCTATGCAACTATGAACAAAACATTCTACATAAGTTTGCAAGATAGCAAGTTTTAGCTGAAGGATGTGTCACATTTTTGTTCAATTGTTTGGTTCCGAAATGTGATGTTCACTGCAATTTATAGCTTTAATTGTGTTTTCTGCTTGATTGCTTCTTATGTGAATTTCTAGTGTTTAAGGTTGTTCAAGAAATATTATACTGCTGCTTTCTTGTTGCTCTAGGTCAGGACAGCCTATTTTGAGGGGAAAAATCGCATTGATTCGCTTATTGCAGACATGGGAAACTGGGGAGCCAGTGCAGTAACAATACATGGTCGATCTCGACAGCAACGCTACAGCAAGCTTGCAGATTGGGAATACGTATACCAGTGTGCCAGAAAGGCCCCTGATGCTTTGCCAGTACTTGGAAATGGAGACATATTTTCGTATTTAGATTGGAACAAGCACCAGGCTGAATGCCCTGAGCTTTCTACATGCATGATTGCTCGAGGAGCACTAGTTAAGGTCTGTGTTTTGCATTTTGTCTTGTCCACAACCTTCTCCCCCTGATACAACTACTTTTGTTTATTTTTTGATGCATCTTTATTTATGTTGTAGTAAATTCCTGAAATTTACATCTTACATTTGTGTTTGTGCGTGCATATTCTAAACTTTAAGTTTCTGTTGAACCATGTTTAAAACCTATGAGTTCTAAACATCCATGTGATTTGCAGCCTTGGATTTTTACTGAAATAAAGGAGCAGAGACACTGGGATATCAGTTCTGGGGAGCGTTTGAATATTTTAAAAGATTATGTACGTCTTGGCCTTGAACATTGGGGCTCTGACACTAAAGGTTTGTATTATTAGTTTATTTAACATACTGGCTGTAGTTTACTTAGCAACCGTGCCCTCGTAGGAAGTTTAATGCTTTTATAAAATTACGTGATATTGAGCTGAACAGTTACCCAACTCCATGTTGGTTTCTACTTGAAAGTTTACTTTTTTTTTTTTCTTTTTTCTTTTTTTGAAGTTGTCAATAAATGGTGTAAACCTTTTCCAACATCTGTGCTTATCGAAGTTCTGTTTTCTGCGGGCTTTTATCCTGTCGTATGTCTCAGGTGTGGAGACAACTAGGCGTTTTCTGTTAGAATGGCTTAGCTACACTTGTAGATATGTACCTGTTGGCCTTCTAGAGGTCATTCCTCAACGGCTGAGCTGGCGCCCACCGTCCTATTTTGGTCGTGATGACCTTGAGACACTAATGGCCTCTGATTCTGCTGCGGACTGGGTATGGCTTTACCTTCTCTTTCAGCTGATCAGATCCACTGACCCAACCTGCTTAACATGTAGTTTGATTGCATTTCTATTTATTCTTCCCCTTGCAGGTTAGGATCTCTGAGATGTTGCTCGGCAAGGTTCCAGATGGCTTTACATTTGCCCCAAAGCATAAATCCAATTCCTACGACCGAGCAGAAAACGGCTGATTTTCTGTGGCTTCTTGATGTTCTCGTGTATGAACCAGATGATCTTCCGCTTAATTGTCCATGTGGATGAACCAGATCTAATTTACTTGCCTCATGCCTCATGCCTCATTCACTATATGCTAAATGTCCTCACAAATAATTCTGAGGTATGCCCTGACTTGGGGGAAAAAAAAGGAGAATCCAACAGTTCATAATTTAAAGTTCTCCTTAGGTGCCAATTTGTCCATTGACCCTTGAATTTTGAAGCTGTTCGATTAAAATCTGATATTGGTGTTTAGCTATTATTCTTATTTTAAAAATATTTATTTTGTATTGATATAAAGTAGTGGCCTGTAATTGGAATCTATCTACTACCGCATTTGTAATTTTGCCAAATTTGGTTCACCTGAAGAAAACGAAAAATAGAGAAAAGATGGGTTAAAATGAACTTTATTTGTCTGCAGTGCGAAATTAGATTCGATTCTTTTTCGCCTAAGGAGGTCAATAAAATAGACTACAAAAAGAACAATCTCCATCTATTCTTTGATGGTACTTGGTATCTCTTCATTTCTGTCCGTGTTTGTGTGTATATTGAAGGTCAAGCCAAGATCTGCCAAGTCCCATGACTAATCAACTTCGGAAAAAATTGAGTTTTGAGTTAATTTCTCACTCATCTTGCTACATATATATTGTTCTTGGAAATATAATTATCATGCTATAATAAAAATTTGTGAATTACCTTGGTTTCATATTTTTTTCGATAACATATGATATAGCCAATCCTCCTGTAGTACCATTATACAAACAAAAGATGGAATGCATCTAAGTCCATAGATGTTAAAAACTTCAAGAAGAAAAATGGTTATACCAAACTTTTCACTAAACAAACATGACACATACGGATCATAACATGGAAGACAATTTACGCGATACGGTTTGGATACGGTTCGGCCAAGCAACGTATATCAAAGAAAAGATAGATGAAAGGATAAATCTTAAGTAATAACAAACATGATCAGAGACTCAAAAATGATATTTGCCTATTTGTCCCAGTAATGGGGACTAACCTTGGCCCTAACTTTCCTTGCTGTGAGTTTAAATCTTAATAATAGGGACTAAAAATTAAAATGCACTAACAAGAAAATTTAAAATGCACTAGCAAGAAAATTTAGAGCTGGTCAAGAGACATAACCAAAGCTAGAACCAGAAAAAAAAAACTAACAAAACTGGTAATGTTAGAGCTGAATTCAGACAACTTAACCAACTGTGTATCATCAAGAAAATATAAATTCAAACAATTATCAGATGCAAAATTGAAAAGGAACCATGTCTTGGATTTTGGAACCCAAAATTCAAGGAAGCACGTAACCATAATTTAGATCATTGAAGACATCAGTCACTCACTGCAATGGATTCCCTGTTCTGCTCCTTTGATTCTGCTCCTTTGATAAAAAAAAAAAAAAAAAGCACCTATACCATAAACTGGAGGCACCGCAAGCAATGGCATGTCGACGAGCACTATTAAAGAACACTACCCTCAAATTCCTTATCCTTCTCCTCTTTCTGAGTCTGGTTTGCTTGAACCCAACCACCACCAATGGACTCAAAACTACCATTCAACCCATCATCCACAAAATCACCAACCTTTTTCACTTTAACCTCTCTAGGCTCCACAGGGTATTTTCCAGAGAAACAAGCATAACAAAAGTTAGGAGACTGATTGCCCAACATCTTCTCCAATTTAGCAATTGGCAGAAAAGCAAGTGAATCCGATCCAATAAACTCCCTAATTTCCTCAACACTCATCCTATTTGAAATCAACTCCTCAGAACTTGGTGTGTCCACCCCATAATAACAAGAACCAATAATGGGCGGGCTTGCAATCCTCATATGAACTTCCTTAGCACCTGCCTCCTTCAACAACCTAACAATTTTCGAAGACGTGGTTCCTCTCACAATTGAGTCATCCACAACCACAACCCTCTTCCCCTCCAACACAGCCCGGACCGGGGACAGCTTGAGCTTCACACCAAAATCCCTAATCTTCTGTGATGGCTCAATGAAGGTCCTCCCAACATAGTGAGACCTAATCAAACCCTGCTGAAAAGCCACACCGGCTTTAGCAGCATAACCAAGTGCAGCCACCACCCCAGAATCAGGCACTGCAATCACAACATCACAATCAACCGGTGCTTCAGTGGCAAGTATCTCACCAAATGCACGCCGGGATTCATACACTGATCGTCCGAAAACCACAGAATTCGGCAGAGCAAAGTAAATGTGCTCAAAGATACATTGCTTTGGCTGAGGATGAGACATAAGGCAAAGTGATTGAACCCCCTCTTTATCTACCACCACAACTTCTCCAGGAAACACCTCTCTCTCATATGTGGCTTCAATCAAATCAAGTGCACAAGTCTCAGATGCAAACACAACAGAGCCATTGCTCCTCCTCCCCATAACCAAAGGCCTAAACCCATGCGGGTCCCGGACCGCAACAAGCTTATCTTTGGTCACAAACACCATAGAATAAGCCCCCTCCAGCTGCTCACAAGCATCAACAATTCTCAAAAGAAAAGGTCTATGCTTTGAAATAGCAATAAGGTGAAGAACAACCTCTGTATCAGAGCTGGTGTTGAAAATGGACCCAGTGTCTTCAAGCTTCGCTCTAAGGGCACGGTAGTTGACCAAATTGCCGTTGTGGGCAACCCCAACAGACCCAAACCTGTACCCTGCAACAAAAGGCTGGACATTTTTCAGCATAGAGGCCCCTGCAGTCGAGTAACGAACATGCCCAATTGCCAAGTCACCAGGCAATTGGTCGAGCTTGGTCTGATTGAAGACCTCAGACACGAGCCCCACGCCGGTTATAGACTGAAGCACGTCGTCTTGCACACACACGATTCCAGCCCCTTCCTGGCCACGATGCTGAAGGGCGTGTAGGGCCAAATAGCAGAGGCGAGAGGCTTCTGGGTCGCCATATATGCCCACGACCCCACACTCCTCCCGGGGCTTATCGTCATCATCGTAATCAATAAAATCGCCATCTGGGTTTTGTTTGTTTGCTGGGAAAAACTCGGAAATTGGGTTTTTGGAGCGGAGGGTGAAGGAGGAAGCTCTGTGGGTACGTGAGAGAGAGGAGGTTTTGAGAGAAAAAGAGGGTTTAGGGAGGGTTTTTGGGGAGAGAGAAGGAGGGGTTTTGTGGGTTAGAGGGAGGGGTGTGGGTTTGGAGACAGAGGACGAGAGAGGGGAGGGCTTGGTGGTGGTGGAAGCCATGGGATAGTTGCAGAGAAGGTGTGTGTTGAGTAAGTGCAAGCGTAAAGCGACAGTGGAGGGAGGGAGAGGGTTTTGGGACTCGGAGTTAGAAGTGGAGGAGGAGTTTTGTTCTAGGTTTTTTTAGGAGTTTGATGGAATCAAGTACATTGGATTGAAATCACCCTTTGGTGAGGTAGCTGCCTCACAAACAAAGATTCGCATTGGAAAACACTTTTTTTTGGGTGTGAAAATACTTCAAGTCACCCTCGTCGTTTTTTGGGGCAAATTAAAAAAATTAAAGAGAGGTTGGTTTCTTCTACTATCATTGCTATTATTTTCCAATTCTAGCTTATTAGTCTAATTTCACGAGGGAGCTTTTTAAGGGGATTCATATTTTAAAGAAAAGTACGGGATGATAGCAATTTTCCAATTCTAGTTTTTTTCTTAAAAAATAGTATTCACTTATATGTTTGATCACAATTATATAACTACATCGTTTTCTCTTTGGTTCTTTTTATACATGTAATCTACTTAAACCTACAAAATAAATGGGGATCGTATTGAAGGATGATCAACATTGTGTGAGGCACACCTGTGTTGGTTTGCATAATAAACTTCTTGAGAATGAAACTCTCATGTCTAATTTAAAGAGATAAGAATGGAAGATGTAGAGATGGAATGAAATATCTTCATTACCATGTTTGGGAAATGAAGACTAGGAAATGTCACTTCCTCTCATTCCATGTTTGGTTTGTGCAGTATTATGAATGTGAAGTTGTTGAGTTTTCCAATAACACCCTTTACTTCGTTATTTAAAGTTACTAATAAAAAGTGGTATTTAAAAATTAGAAATGGGTAATTTAGTCTTAAAAAAGTGCATTAAAAGTTTTTTCAAGTTAGAAAAAAAGATTACCAAACTTTCACGTTCATACCCATGAGTCAAGTATTGCAATTTTATATTGCATTTACCAAATATGATAATGCAATTTCGCACCTATTTCTAAGCTTCTGAACATTGAACTAAACGGGCATAAAATCGAGATAAGATGAAGAAGAACAAGTAGAACCTAATTTCAGGTTTATATTGTACGGAACAAAATAGGGTAAGTTGCAAAAGGAGGAAATTGGAGTTGAGAGACTGACTTCATTTCATTGACTTCAACATCTGTAGTCTTTGCTTTCGGCGCAAAGGCACAACACCACAAAGATCTCCTCACACACCAGATAGCAACACGACAAAAATATGGGGTCCATCCATAGTTGCTTCTACTGTGGTTTCTTTTTTACTATTAAATTATATATTTTCAATTGAAAAAGTAGGGCATCCAAGCATGTCATGTCACACATGGCATGAACTTGGTTGAAGCCATGCATGGCGGGTCCCATACATAGACCAAGAAAGAATGAGTCAATTGAAACTTACACGAAAGAGGAGAGTGTGAAAGCGTTCCCTCATTACTCACCAACTCCCTCCAAGTCTCCGGAGCTACTCAAGTGGTCATCAAGTCAATCTTCTCATGAATAGTGGGCTGGTTTGAATGATTCTTCTGTGCGACTGCCGTACACTACACTCAAAAATAATGGGACTACTAGTGGGTTCCGGTGAGATCAAAATACATAAGAGTTTAATTTTTGTGACAATGATCGCACATTTACGGGTCCAAACTATCAGATGTAATAATATCTCCCGTTCAAGACTCTCTAAGTTTCAAAACCTTCTTATTGGAGCATTAATTATAAGTCATTAATGGTCGATTTGCGGTATGTTTATTAATTAGGAATTATAATTAAAATTAAGAATTGAATTTCAATTATTAATGATTTCTACGTTTACTTCATATCAAGAAATTAAAAAATGAGTGGAGCCCATACAAAATCAGGAGAATTAGATTTTTGAGTAGGAGGTGGTGTTCTAATTTCTAGAGAACTAACCTATTAGGAATCCATATTTATTACTCATTATATCCTCACACAATTTTTAAAATTCTAAATTTATCATCTATTTTAACCCAACAACAGGAACATTTTAATAATGAGTACCACTCTTATTCTAATTTCATATGGGTAAACAACTTCAATAGGAATTCAAAATCTAATTATCCACAATCCAACTCATCCTCAATTCAATTCCTCCTAACCAGATTACGAATTAGTAAACATGCTATTAGATGAAAAGATTCCAAATCTATGAATTTGGATGAGGTGTTTATACTATAATATGAATATGGCAAGATTTGGAAAAGATAAAAAAGAAAGAATACAAATAATTCCTTGTATATAAAGAATACAAATGGTTCCTTGCATATAGTCATTTCAAATGTACTATATATCTAATTATTTCAAATACATTCAATTCTATGTGTTTCTTTATTTTTTAGAATCTTCCATTTGTTGCCGTCCTTACACAAGAATCACTCCATGTCCTAGTAAACCCCTCTTTCTGGAGGTTTTTTTTTTGAAATTACTTATGTAGGAACTTTCTTCCGCTTATTATTAGTAGCTTATTATTAGTAGATGTTATCCTTATGCATACCATACGAATATTGGACCAAAATGCATGGTAACACAACAACCTTGACTTGCCTTTAATTTACAAGTTGTAAATATTGCATACCCTTTGGATTAAAAAAATAAAATTGCAAGTTAGTACAAACAAAAACTTAGAAGTAGTACTATTATTGTCGAGAGCTGATTTTCCATTCTTGTTTTGTCTACTTATACTCCCTTGCATATTATAGTAAAAAGTAATATATAAAATACAAAAGATAGTGTGTAAGTGGACAAAAAGAGAGTAGAAAAAGCAGCACCCTTAATAGATAAAATTAGATTACCATTCAAATTAACAAACATTATTTTAACAAATAATTTAATTAATAATCTGACAACATAATATCTTCGAGAAAATATATAGAAACTTTTCGCAAGTTCAAACTACTTGCAACTTGTAGTCAATTCATGTTACATAAGCCAATTGGGGGGGGGGTGGTGTCTATCGACTCAAGCCTCTTATTTGGACTCAATCCATTCATTATGTGCAAACAAGTAGAATATTCCAAAACTTCACAAAAAACGTCTTTTTGCAATTTGTGTGTTTGAAAGTGAGTCTTCAAGTCTTGCAAATCAAGAGAAGTGGCTAACAATTATGGGGATGACAAAGCAGCTACCACAGCTTCAAGACAAGAAGGGATATACCACAACCATAGTCATTGGCCACTAACTTGCCACAAGCCAGCCACTCCATGCATGCCCCACATAACATGTTATCCCAAAATAACAACAAAAAATTGATCAAATCCATATGTATTCGTGCAATATTATCTTTCCAAAATAAACGTCTCATGACCAACACGGTATATATATCTTCTTCTAGTGTCTTTTAATGCAAAATAGCAAACCCTAACAATTGCATGTAACTCATGAAATCGAAATGTATATGATTAAAGGAAAAATTTATGGTGGAACTCTTCTTTGATATTTGTTGTTGATGAGTAGCTTACTGAAATTTTTGTTGGTGGGTTACTAATCCTTCATAAGCCTTCGCGGTGAGCATTTGGTGTCATGGGAAGCAAGGCCAAATTCTTTGGTTGCTCTTGTATGTTGGGCAAATTTGTGAGTTTTTTTTAAGATGACACGAGTCTATCATACCACCCCCTAACGGATTGTAAATTTGTTCCGACGTTCAATAGTATCTAATTTTTTGTATAATGTGTGATCATTAATTTTTTTTAGTGCCTCAAGAACACGGTGGAAGGAGACGGAAAAGAACCATAATAATTTACCTTGCTTTGTGCCATTTTTAAAATGCCGCTTTATGAAGGTGTTTTTTTCTTGAAAACACTTGGATGTTCAATAAGAGTTTCAACGTACTTCTAGTAAATATGCGTATGAGCATAAAGAGTTCCTACTTTTTTTCTGGGTCATACTTCTTTCATTGAAAGTGAAGGACATTAAAAGATGTGGAAAGCCCAATGATGCCCAACGGAGAAGCACAAAACGGGAAGTTTACACATGGTCAAAGCCCATATATGAAGATGCAGCCCAAAAATAAAAATAAATAGAAGACTCCAAAATAGAGCGAAATTTTTCAGTGAGGGTGTATGGACTCCTTATGTGAACCTTCATATTAGTCACATGATCATTTTATTAAACTTAAGCGAAGTTACTATTCAGATAAATCTAGTGGCTAATACGAAGGTTCACATCTACGGTTCATATAAGGCATCCTTACCATAAAACGATTCCCAAAATAAAAACCCCTAGATATGAAATTAGGCTATAGTCACACCACCATAGCAAATCCATTGCCACCATGGAGGAGTATTTGGTAACTAGACAAGGGTTAAACAGTGCACACTGAAAAATGCACTTCCATAATTCAAGAAAATAATGCACACTGCACGTTAAACACATCCCACCATCAAAACGTGTCACCAAGGAAGATCGACTATAGAGACATTCATGAAGTCGAGGAACATAGGTTGGTGGTTGAGAGTTGGCATAGGCAACAACCTCATGCGAGGGGATTGAGGATGCCATAATAGAGAGGGGGGATAAGGGGAATGTAGAAGTGGGAAGTGGAGGTTGAAAAACAATGTTAGTGGCTGGTGGAGAAAGTGTAGAATTACGATTTTAAGATTTGGGCATAACTTAGGGGAAATTAAATTGAGGGGGAAGAGGAAAGGGAAAGGGATCCAAAAAGAGGCAATCCAAGAAAAAACCACATTCTTGAGTGGGGAGGAGCCACCGACTCTCAATTTGGAGGAGGGGGAGGAGAGCAGCAACATTATCCCAGCGGTTGGCAGTGTCCTTGTCAAACACAGCCAGAGTTTTTTCAAAATCTTTGTTTCCCTTGGCAATCCAAAAGAAACCAGAGCCAATTAAGGACATTCAACTTGATGCCATTGAAAATGGTATTTTGTGGAGGAGAATGAGGGTCCAAAGTGAAAATGGTGGTGAGAAACAAATAGGAAAATTTAGGAAAACATTTTATGCCTACTAAAAAGTACTATGAAACAATAGTTTCCTTGAAGTTGTAAAGAAACTCTAATGTATAAGCAACCCGACATGAAGCTGTGAATAAAGAATTCAATTTACTTCATCGAATGAGTTGCAAGCACATTCTCATGTAGGGACAATCATTCGGCTCACGGCATGCGGGCCGAAGTAGATAACCTGAGGTCCTATGGACCAAACCCCAAC